TTGAATCCTGTTTTAAATCTAAAACAGGACAATTTATTGTGAAGCCAGGCATTCAAAGTAGTTTTTCATATCTTATGAATTTACTGAATAAAGCATTAAAACAAAAACAAGAATTAGCATCAAATGAAAACAATGAAAATTATTCAAATTATATAACTGATGAATTCCTCAATAATCATCCGTTATTAAAGTCACTAATAAAATGGTATTGAATGCATGATCTAAATGATGTTAAGCAAACAAATCGATTTTTAGTATCATTTATGGGCAATTTAATAAACAACTTTACACAATCTCCGAATAACTAGGCATACTGAATCAATTAAAGATTTTTTCATATGCTTATATGTTCTCGGTGGCAAACAAGTCTATGAATTTATTCGTTTAAATCTTTATGGTTCTATTCCTAATTAGACAACACTAGGTGAATTAATTAAAAAATCAGATACTGCTTTTAGTGAAGCAGAATTTTACTTTGGATCTCTTCGGCAATGTCATTCCCAGTTTGGGTTTTGTTCTGAAAACATCACAGGGATCATTCGTAAGGTTGAATATGACTCCAAAACAAATTCCTTTCTCGGATTTGCAACACCAATTGATCATAGTGTTCCATTACCAAAATTCTATCAAGCTAATACATTTAATGATTTAAAACCAATTTATGATACAAATGAAATAGCACCATTGTTGAATATGCATATGTTTCAAAGTACAGGGTGCATCCATGGGAAACGTACCACTTTATACATGACTTTCTCAGAATCGACTGAAACTTTCACGGTTTGTAGAGCTCGATGAGCTGATCATTTTGGTAATCAATTATTAAATGTTTGAATATAGACTCGGATTGAAATAAGCACGTTGTCTTCGAATAAAAAGTCTCTTCCGAACTTGGGTGAAGGATGGCATACTATGTTTTGTAGAGCGCCGCTCGCTCTATCTTCTGGTATATAGGGTTGCTTAGCCGCTTTCCATTTTCGCTCCTTACAGGGTCAAGACATTTATATATTAGCTTTTTTAACAGTTCTGAGCTCATATTTCGGGAAGTTTTTAGTGAAATACTCGATGGATTATTCTGAAACTTTAAATCCAGATTGGTCTCAGCTAGTAGATATATTTTGAAAGTCTAAAAACTGTGACCAATAGGAAGGTTTCTAGTCGTGTTGTGCTCTGGATTCATTTTTTTGGCACGCTTTCACCCATTTTTTAAGCAGTTGAAAACTCTTTTTAATAGAGAAGAGCCTACTCCGAGTTAAACCAATATCCGGACCGGAATCAGCATCGGAAACTGTAAGCGTCAACAGATGTTATGCTGTTGCCGCTAGCCTTTTTCATTCTTTTCGTTCTCCTTTACGTAACCTATGTGAGCCGCGATGTTTCCCTAACATATACATATTTGTCTATATTATTTCTTTCTCTTTCTCTCTCGCGTAGCTATATGAACAAGTTTTCCCTAGTAGTTCAGTTGTTTATTCTTGTTATCTGGGTCACCCGTTTTCCTTGAATAAAATACATATTCATCATCTAAACCTATATTATCTTCTTTATTATATCAATCTACCAATTAAAGTAGGATAACTAACACCACTAACGTAGCTAATACAGATCTTAGCTTTCTATTGATTTCTTCCAACCTATTAACATTTAATGGGTGGGAGATTTGGATGAAAGAGAAAACTAACAGAAACTGGATTGATTTATGTATCTTTCAAATATCTCTGAGAATTTTCATTTTTCTCGAAAATTGGCCCTCTATTCTTCGTTAGAATACTCTCAAAAAAAAAGTAATTTCTCGTAAATATTATTTGCTTCGCGGAATGAAGTGCTATCGCTTCTTAAATAATACTGTAAGTGAAATGACAGCCTGCTAAACGGTAAAAACTTCATTCTGGTAGAAGCCACTTGTTGAGGGTACCCTGAGGAGGAGTATGAAGAAGGTTTTCTAG